TCTCTCTTCTCTATCTCCCCACCCAAATCGATTCCTTTTCCTCATCTCAAGGAATGGCACCACACTCAATCCCTCAACCCAAGCCACAAATCTGTGGGTCGTTCTTTGCAATCTCTTTTCCTTTACCTCTTCCTCCAATGGGTTACCAATCCTACCTTCTTACTATCCAGTGGTACGTAGGTAAATAGCTAACTTAAATCAACTCTCCAGGCTAAAAACGCCCTCACTTGCAGCACTTGCCTATGTCTGTGATGTAAATCCCACCATAGCCAATTTCAAGCAACCAACTTGATGTTACTGAACACGGAGCTGTGAAGAGATGTGCACAAACGGCTCCAACACACCACTGCCTATTCTTCAGAACTAGTTCTTATCTCCATGCCTACTGGTATTGCCTTAATTCAGGATTTCATCTTCTCTCTCCTCCACCTACACAATGGAATCTATGGATTTCCTGACCTCTATCTCATAACCCACCCCTCCATCTGACATGGTCTCCAAAACCTCTTTCCACAATCCAAGCCTCATCATGTTACTCCTCTGCCTAAACCCCTCCATTGGTTCTCCATTGCCCGCTCTTTATCTTCATATATAAGGCCCTTGATTATTTGGTCCCTACTGATTCTTGAGCTTCATCTCTTATCATGCAACTATCTATAACCTCTACTCTAACCACCCTGACATATATGGTGTTCCCAAACATACGATACTGCTCCACACCTCCGCACCTTTGCTTATTCTATTCCTGTTCCCTAGGAGAACCTTCCCCAATTTGTTCACTGAACATGCCTCTTAAGAGTCAGCTCAAATCCCCTCTCCAGGAAGTTTTCCTGAACTCCTCAGGTAGACTTGATGTCTCCCACTTGTATATCTCCAGTACATTTTAGCACCTCTAACACTCTTTATTGAGTTTCTTTCATATCCATCTCCACCCACTAGACATGAGGTTCTTGAAGGCAAGAACTGGATCTTATTCATACCTAGCAGGTAGTATGGTGATAGAGTACAGCAGACTCTCAAGAAACAGTGACTATTACTATCCTGGCAATTAGCACCCTAAGACCGAATACACCAATTGCTCAAATATTTATTGAATGAAAATATCAGTATGTTCTTGCCATCTGCCCAAGGCCAGAGGACTGCTGAGATACTCAACCTGTACCTTATAGATTGTTAGGAAGCCCAAGCTCTACTGCCATAGTCAAAGAATTGCACTGTAATTTTTTTTGGCCTATCAGCCTCTGTGTCAGCTTCCTAGGGCTGCCATAAGAAAGGACCATCCGGCTTAAACAAAAGAAATTTATTTTCTCACAGTTCTGCAGGCTAGAAGTCTGAAATCAAGCTTTCACCAAGGTTGCTTTCTTTTGAGGCCTCTCTCCTTGGCTTGTAGATGGCTATCTTCATGTTCACAAGTCATTCTCCTCTATGTGTGCCTGTATCCAAATCTCCTCTCCTTATAAGTACACCAGTCATGTTGGATCAGGGCCCATCCTAATGAGCTCATTTTAACTTAATCACTTCTTCAAAGACCCTTTCTCCAAATACAGTCATATTCTGAAGTATTAGAGATTAGGACTTCAACATATTAATTTTAGGGTGACACAATTCAGTCCATAACAGCCTTCTACTAAACTGTGAGCTCCTCAAAAGACAGGAGATATAGCTTAGTCTTCTTAGTATCAGCTGTGCTAGTGGAGTACCTGGAACACAGCAGATTCTTAATGAATTACTTGTGGGATACATAAATAAAGGACCTTCCCAAACTATAGTCCAAATCTGGATTGTGCTCCCTTCCAAATCTGGTGGCCAGCACCAAGAATGTGGCTTTACTCTTTCTCTGAAAGAAAGCTTGATGCTATCATGGTCACTAGCTAGTCCATTGCCAAACAGCCATTTATACGGCACCCAACACTGAGCAGAAAAATAAAATCCTTAAGACCAGACACCCAAAGCCAATTGACAATACCCTCCTCCCTCCAGATCCATTCTGATACACTTAGATTGAAATTAACATGTATGGCTAGAGGCGCATTTGAAGTAAAGAGAAAACCAACACTGCTCTGCCCAAAGAACAAGGTGTTAACAGCTTAGGAGAAATGGTAAAATGGACATCTGCTACTTTTTTCCTACCCAAAAGGAAACTTCTCCCTCACTGTTCTGTGTGATTTGGGTGGGCCAATCAATGATGTAGCCTACCTTCCCCACTATCAAGATGGGCATGTGACCTAATCAGTACCCCCCTCACAGGAATTTGAATCCTGAGTGGAGTAAAACGAAGATAAGAAAAAATTGAAGGGAATCAATTACGCCAGTGCCATGAAATATTCCTGGTTCACACATCCCTGAAACAGCCTTAGTTCCTGACCCTCCCAAGGCTTGATCGACACTGTCTCTGTTTCTGAGACCTACCTGATAGTCTTCTCAAAAATTTCATTAAATTAGGAAGTGTTTATTTTGTAGCTCTCAATCAAAGAATCTTGGCACATATAATGGTCCCTTGAGTGGAACGTGGCTAGGGGTGGATCTAAAATATGGAAATGGGAGCAGGCAGTAAAGATTCTCCCATCCATGGCTGAGATATTCATGTGCTCATCATCCTTGTTATGCCACTGCAAAGCAGCCAACTATACTACTCCATCCCGTATTTTGGGGGACAGTCCACATGCCTCCACAGGCTAAATCTTTTGAGAAGTTAGTAGAAAAGTGTCAAAATACTGGAGTGTATGGCCATTTCTAACAGCTCTTGGTAAACTCCTAGAAATGACTCAGCTTCAGACAAGATGGCCTATGTGAATGTGGAGAAGAAAAAATTCTGCCCCATCTAGACTGGCCCTCTTCTCTGGGTAGGAATCCAAGATAGTAGCGAGTCAGATAGTCACAAAGGACTATGAAATTTGAACCAACGCATCAATGATAATGCTAGAAAACACAGGAAAGAAGGAAACAGCGAAAGACAGGATTCACACCAAGAATATTTGGGGAGGCCTGATCCTCCAAGTACCTCCCAATTTATCTCCCCTCCCCAACAGAGCCAAGTCCTGGGAGGAAGTCAGAGGATGAGGAACAAACTAGTGTTGCCTTTACCCCAGAGGCAAAAAGATAATGGCAAAAAGATAAGTAGCAAAATTAAGGGCTGAAGGATGGGCAGAGCAGCAAGGCCTACTTCTAAGAGGAAAGTCCCTAGGCTAGGGCCCAGAGTCAAGCACCAAGCCAGAGTGGCAAATGCACATAGACCAGTAGATTTAAGCTGGGTTGAGCTGAGCTAAGCTGCCATAGAAACCTTGGAACATAAAAAACTACCACTGCTCCAAAATCAATTTCCACATATCCTAACCCACAGCACCACCAGAATTTGGGATGCTGAAATAATATACCCACATCAGGAAAATCTTACCCAGTTCCTTCTCAAATGTGTCCACGGAATTCATATGAGGCAACAGAAAGCAGGTTCAATAATAGCCAGGCACATAAGGCAGTGCAGTACGCCAACCAGCTACATGTGTCTCAGATATTGAAGGAAAAAATCTAATCATGAAGCAATAATAACTAAATACAATAGCCTCCATAAAGTCCAAGACTAACACCAACCTAGCATCCAAGTTAAGGTGTATCAGCAACTTTCTACAAAGATACAGGAACCACAAGATTTAGACGCAGACGATAGGAAAGAAAATGGGAAAAGATTAACTCTGGAAAATAGATTATATGTTAGAGATAATTGTAGAAAGACATTATATTCCTTGAGTTGTGGTAAGAGAATGACTGAGTTACAAAGAGTCTAAATCAAATAAGAATATTTATCTCAAGCTGCCTACATCCTATCAGTTTATATGCTATGATACCTGAGGAGTTGGTGAGCAAACAAAGCCATTTCTAAAGGAGCTGCTGGGTAGAAAGCTGGGTGCTGCCCACTTCTTCTGGGGGAAGGGAGCTCAGATGTTGCAACGCGCCACGCAGAATCAGTGTCTATAGCATTGGTTCCTAGAATGGTCTCTCTGGGAGCAGCACCAGCATGAGGCATCCTTTTCTTACATCATCTGTGGAACTCTGTCTCCCACAAGTAATATCACCTACACTGTATTTCTATTAAATGGCACAGAATCACTTAGAAGCAGAGAAAATTTCCACTTCCACATGGCTAGGATCTGTCACTTACTCACCAAGGGAGGGGAAATGTAATTCCCCAGACCCCCCGGATTCTCCCACCATTTCCATTAAGTGCCCTGAGAAAAACAGCCATTAGAGACAAACTATAAGGAATACTTACATTCTATAAGCAAAGGAAAGAACATAAGGTGGGTGGGGTCATGGATGAGTAAGGGCAGGCCTAGAATGATTATTCTGAAGATATTTTAACAGTGATGAACAGTAGGCCATCATTTGGCTTATTAAAATAGTGCTGGGTAGTGAGAGAGAAGCTGGCACATTTTCCTGTAGATGAGGTGGCCCTGGGGGTTTGAACAACAGTTGGAACACAGCTGCCATGGCTAAAACCAAGCAAGTACAGATGCCACACCAAAGTGGAAGTAATCTCATATCATCCCCTGCTGCCAAATTCAAAATGCCAATGGAGGAAAAGTATTGAAGGAAGTCTTTAAAATAGACTAGATAACTGTTTTAAATACCAATTCTGTGTGTAACTAAAGTTTTTGCCGTTGAGGTCTATGAACAGCAGTTATTAAGTTTAGAGAGCTCAATCAAATGTCCGACTGCTCAGCAAGATGAATGAAATACAACGTGCTCTCTTAGAGTTTGGAATAGCCCCAAAGTCAAAGTCACTGGACATTATTAGACTTTGTAACTCCAAACGTCCTTTAGAAAACGTCCCTCTAGCAATATTTTTCTCCTTCAAGAGCTGTTTCCCTTATAGTGCCGTCCATCATTTTCTACGTTCTCAACCGACAGACTAAAAGTACATGGCACCACATCTCAGTTCTCATTTCTCTTGGAAAGATAAGCCAAGGAAGGGAACATTTCACACACACACACAACCAACTTACCAAATGCTTTCTTAGGTTCTATTAACTTCAATGTAAAGAGTTCCTCTTTTTTTAATTCCTTTAACTTCTTAGCAACATCATAATGACGCCATCCAACGATATTTTCTCCATTTATGCATTCGATATGATCGCCCACACAGATTGTTTTAACTGAGTCAATTGTGCTACCATCTTTAATTCTCTGAAAGAAAATTAAAGATAACATATAAAATACAATTGTGTAACATTACTTTTCATGCTCTTGAGACATCATATACAATATATTGACATATTAGCAGTGCAGTTTAATGTTCAGTTAAAGACGGAAGGCCAAGGCAACAAAGGACAACCATCTCACCTCATTCGGAATTCCGCTCCATCAGCCACCGCCTCCTCTGAAAAGCTTTTCCTGACATCCCCCAGTCTACCTCCCCCAAGACTGGGGAAGGTGCCACTCTCATACCTCTATAGTAATTTTTGCTACATATGCTGAGCTCTAAGCTAAGCACTTAACATTCGTCATCTCATTTAATTCTAACAACCTTTATGAGATTCTCATGTCATAGATCTGGAAAATTGAGGGTTAGGAAGATCAAGGAATTTGCCAAGTTCAACACACCCTAGTGTGATTGTTCATTATGGCTCATCCTCCATTACTGAACTGTGATATCCTTGGGGACAAAGATGGTCTTATTCACCGCTGCATGCCCTGTGCCTAGACAATGCCTGCCCAGCAAAGTCCCTCCATGAGTGACTGCTGAAGCATTTCAACTTGAGGCCCATTGCATGAGAACAGAGACTGAGCTTCTTCTACTGAGTACGTTTTTTAAACCTTAGTTACAAATGCAGTGATTCAAGAACTGGGACAACTTTAGCTAAGAACACTGGTAACTGGTAAGGGACAGGTGTGGTTACCATTTGGAGAGCCAGTAAGAGTGATTTTAGACTATCATTTTTCATTTATATATTTCAGGTGAGGAGAACTTAGGATCCACGGGAAAACTTCAAATTGATCTTTTTAAAATCTATCTTACTTCTATACAATAAATCTATAGTGCAGAGTCTCAAAATGAGGCCTAAGACTCCCTAAGACAGACGGCACCAAGAATTTCTGAAAGGATTTTAGGGACAAGAGCTCCAGAAATCTCCATACAGGTAACAGCCCTACAAAAGTTGTACAAATTCTACCAAGGGAGTGAGGGATGGGGCAAAACGAAGGCCACACTCTGCCTCAGGAGTCACAAATCCTTCACGGGAATGACAGGACAGAAGTATTAGGGGTTGCTACTATGGTGTAATAAAAGCACGTGTGTTCCCCACTCTTGCCAGCTGAAGGAGTACCGTCCTCTGAATCAGCAGGGTGACTGATCCTGTGTCCAAGAGTTAAGAGAAAAACTGACCTCACGTACCCCAGCATGTCTCCATATTATCAGGAAAAAAAAATTGTGAAAGGCTAACCTAGGAAGGTTAGGCAGTTTTAATTTTTAAATTTTATTACTATACAGTCATGAGTCATTTAACAACGGGGACGCATTCTGAGAAATGCATCCTTAGGTGATTTTGTCGCTGTTCGAACATCACAGAGTGTCTTACACACACCTAGATGGTATATCCTGCTACACACCTAGGCTACATGGTACTCATCTCATGGGACCACCACTGTACACGCAGTCCGTTGTTGACTGAAACGTCATTATGTGGTGCATGACTGAATACCAAAACTCAGAAGAGGTTTCTTTTTCACCTCAAAATTTTAAGCACATTGCTACGTTCATTGTAATACTAACTGTTAATAGGCTTTGTGCAAATGAAACAATAATGCCAACTCAAACAGAGCTCATTATTTATAATTACAAATAGTGAATTATAAAGCAAAGAAACCAGAAACTTCATAATCTGACTGACGTTGTTTTATTATAAGTCCATATTAGCATTATAAGCTAACAGAAACAAAAGTAACCACAACACACCACTCAGTACAACTGGAGTCTCTAAACTGTCACAGAAAAATAAGCAAGATTAAACAAAAGACTAGAGTCTAAAAAACAAAGAAAAAATCTCTATTAAATATTCTGTCACCTGATCACCCTTAAGCCATTAGAGAACGTGAAAATCTTTAACTTTGGCTTTCTTAATTTTTAATTCTAATTTATCTCTTGATACCTTCTGAACACATTTTTTTCCTTTGTCAACTACACTATACAAATTTCAGTGTCCCATCACATATTTTTAGTTTTTTAAGACATTGTTATAACTTTATTAAAAATAAGCATTACATTAAATTAATTGAGAGATTTTAAAGATATGTATGAATCTTCCCAATAAATTAAAAGTCAGAGTAATGGAAATTTAGGTTTGCCTGGACCTATGAATGGCCACAGAGGTCACCAGCAGAATGCCCAGACGGTGGGAGGAAAGGCAGTTACCGGAAGTCAGAGCAGGCAGCAAGGCGAGAATCCAGGTGGGCAAGAGAAGAGTCAGAGCATATGTAATCATCAGGGGCAGCGGATAAGGATCTAGGATGAAGAGACAGGAAAATCAACATAAGAAATCTGGAGAAGAGAACCATAAGGTGGACCAGACGTAGAAGCAAAGTGGGAGACACTGATTATATATTTTGTGGTACCCAAGCCTTGGCCTCCCTTGTGCATAGACTAAAGGTAGCAATTGAGACAAGATTCCAAAATCTAATATACTTTGATAATCACATCATAACTTGATAGAGATTGATAACATTGCTAAAAGTGCTACTTGGAAACAAAGGACTAGGAAGAAAAAAGGAGAGGCATTAATTCTATACTTATATTTACTGAGTCACAATATCATTCTCTATAACACTTGGAACTTTGTCCCATCTGGCTTTGGAGCTTAATGCTGCAAAAAGCAGAGAAGACAAATATTTTTTGGAGATAGGATTTACAACATGACTAAACTTCGAGGTTCCTAACCATTTCAGACCATTATTATAGTATCGTCCATCATTCCATCCCCTATATTTACAGAACTCTGTCTTCTCAGCACAGAGATCAGCAGGCCTCTAGGGCAGCGTCCCACCCTCTTCAAAGTCTTAGGCATCAGATCCAAGGTTGTTTGTCAGATTCAAGGTTGTCTGAGCTGCATGCCCTCCTGCCACAGTCAGCTCTGCTGGCTGAACCTTTGAGATCTGTGCTGCTGAACCTCTCAACACTGTCCTCAAACCTTGTTTCATAATGATAAACTAACATTCATTTAACAATGCGAACAGTTATTTCATTTAGTCCTCACAACAAGCTTCATTCCAGTAATGAATGGGCAAAACAAGGTACAATGATTACATGGCTTGACCAAAATAACACAACAGACAACAGAACTGGGTTTCAAACAAAGGTGGTACCACCGCAGACTCTAGGACCCTAAATTATGAAGAAGCCCAAAATATTTACCATCTAGCCCTTTACACAGATGTTTGCCAACTCCAGTCTTCAACTGTTCTAGGAATGTATGGGTTTTGTTATAAGCACACTCTGAATTTTCTGATTAAATTACCTACATAGTCTTGTTCTGAGAAACTTAGAGACTTAGGTACTAAAATCATGAATGTTTAATCTGTTATCTTTTCACCTGAAATATTTCATCATGTACTATATTTATTTAATTTATTTAAACTAAAAACAAAAACAAAAATAATTCACTCATTCCTCTCACCCTCCACATCCCACCTCTGGCAACCACCAATCTGTTCCCTGTATCCTTGAGCTTAGTTGCTTTTAGACATTTTTTTTTTAATTCCACACATGCGATAGATCGTACACTATTTGTCTTTCCCTGTCTGACTTATTTAATTTAGCATAATGCCCTCAAGGTTCATCCATGTTGTCACAAACAGCAAGATTTCATTCTTTTTTATGGCTGAAAAATACACCATTATTTATATATAAACTACAATTTCTTTATCCATTAATCCATCAATGGACATTTAAGTTGTTTCTATATCTTGGATATTGTAAATAATGCCGCAATGAACATAGGGGTGCATATATCTTTCCAAATTAGTGTTTTCATTTTCTTCAGATAAATACTCAGAAGTGGAATTGATCATATGGTAGTTCTCTCTTTAATCTTTTAAGGAATCTCCATACTTTTTCCCAGAGTGGCTACACAAATTTACATTCCTACCAACAGTACACAAGGATTCCCTTTTCTGCATATCCTCGCCAACACTTTTTATTTCTATTGTTTTTGATAACAGCCATTCTAACAGGTGTGAGAGGTAATATCTCATTGTGGTTTTGATTTGCATCTCCTTGATGATTAGTGATGTTGAGCACATTTTCATGTACCTGGCAGTCACTTGTATGTCTTCTTTGGAAAGATAACTGTTCAGATCTTCTGCCCATTTTTTAATCAAATTGGGGTTTTTTGGCTATGGAGTTGTATGAGTCTTTATATACTTTGGATATTAACCCCTTATCAGATATATGATTTGCAAATATTTTCTCCCATTCAGTAGGTTGCCTTTTTATTCTGTTGATGATTTCCTTTGCTGTGCAGCTTTTTAGTTTGATATAGTCCCACTTGTTTATTTTTGCTTCTGTTGCCTTCGCTTTTGGCGTTAAATTCAAAAATCATCACTAAGACCTATGTCAAGAAGCTTACAACCTACGTTTGCTTCTAGGAGTCTTTTAGCTTCAGGTCTTACACTCAAGTCTTTAAATCCATTCTGAGTTAATTGTTGTGTATGATGTAAGATAGTGGCCAGTTTCATTCTTTTGCAACTCACTGTCCAATTTTCCCAACACCCTTTATTGAGGCCATCCTTATATAGAGACTGTCCTTTCCCCATTGTATATCCTTGGCTCCCTTGTCATAAATTAATTGACCACTTTTGTGTGGGTTTATTTCTGGGCTCTCTATTCTGTTCCATTGACCTAGTGTCTGTTTTTATGCCAATAGGGAATACTATAGCTTTAATTACTATAGCTTTGTAATATAATTTGAAATCAGGGAGAGTGATGCCTCCAGCTTTGTTCTTCTTTCTCAGGATTGCTTTGGCTATTTAGGGTCTTTTATGGTTCCACACAAATTTTAGGACTGTTTGTTCTATTTCTGTGAAAATCGCCGTTGGAATTTTGATAGGGATTGCATTGAATCTGAAGATTGTTTTGGGTAGTATGGACATTTTAACAATATTAATTCTTCCCATCCACAAGCATGAGATATCTTTCCATTTATTTGTTCCTTCTTAAATTTCTTTCATCAATGTCTTATATTTTGCAATATATAGGTCTTTCACCTCCTTGGTTAAGTTTATTCCTGGGTATTTCATTCTTTTTGATGCAATTATAAATGGGATTGTTTTCTTAATTTCTCTTTCTGATAGTCATTATTAGTGTACAGAACACAGCCAACTTTTGCGTATTGATTTTGTATCCTGCAACTTTACTGAATTCATTTATTAGTTCTAACAGTTTTCTGATGAAGCCTTAAGGGTTTTCTACATATAATATCATGTCATATGCAAATAGTGAAAGTCTTACTTCTTCTTTTCCAATTTGGGTGCCTTTTCTTTCTTTTTCTTGCCTGATTGCTCTGCCCAAGACTTCCAATACTATGTTGAATAAAAGTGGCAAGAACGGGCATCCTTGTCTGTACCTGATTTTAGAGGAAAAGCTTTCAGCTTTTCATCATTGAGTATAATATTAGCTGTGGGCTTGTCATATATGGCCTTTATTATATTGAGGTATAGTCCCTCTATACCCACTTGGTTGAGAGTTTTTATCATAAGTGGATGTTGAATTTTGTCAGATGCTTTTTCTGCATCTATTCAGATGATCATTTATCCTTCATTTTGTTAATGTGGTTTATCACATTCATTGATTTGTGGATACTGAACCAATCTTGCATCCCTGGAATAATTCCCAATTGATCATCTTTTTAATGTATTGTTGTATTTGATTTGCTAATATTTTATCGAAGATTTTTGCATCTATGTTCATCAGGGATATTGGCCTGCAATTTTCTTTTCTTGTGGCATCCTTATCTGGTTTTGGTATCAGGGTAATGCTGGCCTCGTAAAATGAGTTTCAAAGAGTTCCCTTCACTTCTATTTTTTTGGAAGAATTTGAAGAGGATAGGTATTAATTCTTCGTTGAATGTTTGGTAGAATTTACCAGTGAATCCATCTGGTCCTAGACTTTTTTTGTTGAGAGGTTTTTGCTTACTGATTCAATCTCCTTACTAGTAATCAGTCTGTTCAGATTTTCTATTTCAACATGATTCAGTCTTGGTAGGTTGTATGTTTCTAGGAATTTATCTATTTCTTCTAGGTTGTCCAACTTGTTAGCATATAATTGTTCATAGTAGTCTCATATAATCCTTTGTATTCTGTCATATCAGTTGTAACTCTCCTTTCATTTCTGATTTTATTTGAGTCTTTTTTCTTGGTGAGTCTAGCTAAAGGTTTGTCAGTTTTGTTTACCTTTTCAAAGAACCAGGTCTTAGTTTCATTGATCTTTTCTTTTTTTTTTTTTTTTTTTTGAGGAAGATTAGCCCTGAGTTAACTACTGCCAGTCCTCCTTTTCTTTGCTGAGGAAGCCTGGCCCTGAGCTAACATCCGTGCCCATCTTCCTCTACTTTACATGTGGGACACCTACCACAGCATGGCGTTCCAAGCGGTGCCATGTCCGCACCCGGGATCTGAACCGGCGAACCCCGGACCGCTAAGAAGCAGAACATGCGAACTTAAACACTGTGCCACCGGGCCAGCCCCTCATGGATCTTTTCTATTGTCTTTTTAGTCTCTCTTTCCTTTATTTCTGCTCTTATCTTTATTTCCTTCCCTCTACTAATTTTGGGCTTCATTTGTTCTTTTTCTAGTTCCTTGAAGTATAAAGTTAGGGTGTTTGCAACTTTTCTTATTTCTTGAGGTAAGCCTATATCACCGTGAACTTCCTCTTAGAACTGTTTTTGTTGCATCCCCTAAATGCAGAACCATGCAACATATTAAATGCATTTCTCTGCCATTGATCTTATCTCATAATTATGTAATGCATTACTATTGCTATTATTAAATTACAAATTATGAGTATTGTCAAACATTTTATATGTCATTACTTTATACTCAAATAACCCTACACAGTATGTGCTAGTATTCCCTTTGAAAGAAGGCTCAGAGAAGTTTAACAACTTGTCCAAGATCACACAGCAAGTAAATAATGGTTGGACCAAGACTAAAAGCAGGCCTGAGGGCTTCTAAAGCCCATGCTCCTATGCACCACACTGCACCGCCTCCCTAAGCAGAGAATCCTTCCTCCTTACCCTTACCTGAATCCATACTACACTGTCCTACTCTGACTTTCAGCCACTGCTGGAAGCATATCAAGTACTCACTTCAGCGGCATATACACAAAAATTGGAAACACACAGAAAAGATGAGCAGGCTCCCTGCACAAGGATGACACGCAAACTGGAACATTCCATCTTTTTCTGCTTATCTTGATGAAAAGAAACTCTGGAAGGGTAAGCCAGAAATTAATGAAATTGATTACTTCCCAGGAAAGGGAGAAATGAGTAACGGGATAGAAGGGATGGGGAAGAGTGACCCATCTCTGAATATATCTTTTCATAAGTTTTGGCTTTTGAAACACATTGGTATTTTATGTAGTCAGAAAATAAAATCAAAACAAGGATGAGGGGAGAAATACAAACTCAATTCAAAGAGAAGCAATTGGATTCAACAGTATTTCAAATGAATAGCATAATCACCAGGGGGAAAGGGGCAGGAAAGAAGCTATTCCAGGGGGCCAGCCCAGTGGCACAACGGTTAAGCTCACACATCCTGCTTCTCGATGACCTGGGGTTTGCCGGATCGGATCCCGGGTGCGGACATGGCACCACTTGGCACGCCATTCTGTGGCAGGCATCCCACATATAAAGTAGAGGAAGATGGGCATGGATGTTAGCTCAGGGCCAGTCTTCCTCAGCAAAAAGAGGAGGACTGGCAGTAGTTAGCTCAGGGCTAATCTTCCTAAAAAAAAAAAAAAAAAAAACCCTATTCCAAGTAACTTCTGAATAGAATACTTTGATTATATACATATATTTAAAGACAAAAAATGCATATAAATCTTGAACTCTTCTTAATAGGTTTATTCTTCATAGTAATATGGATACAGCAATTCTGAAACTATTTTGCGTATATTGTATGTCTAAGCAAATGAGTAAATATTATAACGATTTTAAAAAGTAAATATTTTAATGTGGAAGCCAAGGAAGAACACTGTGAGGCAGCATTAAAAATGGAGGCATAATTATAAATTCATAACTTCTAAAGTACATTTTTCCAGCCCTGCCACTGAAAGGTCGTAGTAACAATGACACTCCAGCAGCAATAAATGAGTGCAACCAGCATCCAAAGCTTTATTTCGAAATACTAGTCCTGACTAAAAAAACCAAAGCTCCTTGAAGAAATGGTTGATTCCAGGCCCGGGGAAAAGATAAACGATGAACGTAGAATATCTTGTGCCAAAAAGGAAGGAACTTCACAATAAGATGCTGGGGGCCATGTCAAAAAGACTCAGGAGCCAGCTGAAGGGGACTCCTGCAGGTCAAATCTTAAAAAATTTGAGCATCGAAATAAGTGATGGTAATGGACTATAACCCACTGAATAAAATAAGAAATCATGTGTCCGTACTGATAAATAGATAAGTAAATAAATAAGTGGAATGCCTTTTTACAATAGAATGTTTTAAAGAAATATATGAGAAATGATGGAATTAGAAAAATCACCATTTTGAAACCATTATAGTAAAAACTGATTCAGGCAAAACTCATCAACAGATGCTAAATCTGTGGGGTGCAAGAGAACAGGGTATTTTCATAATCTCAAAATACCTCCCCACAAATTCTTAATTACAAAGGAAAATACGATAACTTGGCAGTGAATAAGACTGGCAGACACTATCTTAGAGAAGCGACAAAAATTAACGTCATAAACAGACAAACTAACATAATGCACTTTCTGATGTGGTGCACTGAGAAAGACATGACATCACTTACCTACCTACTTTTCCTGCCAAAAATACATACACTGTTTCTCAACATGAAGAAACATCAGAGAGGCCAAATTGAGGGACATCCTCTAAAAATCTGAGGAATTGTTGTAGAATAAAGACAACTAAAAAGACATGACAACTAAATGAAATGCATGGTCCTGGATTGGACCTATACTAGAGCAAAAAAATGCTACAGAGAACATTAGGACAACTGATGAAACTGCAATATGGACATGAGACTGAAAGTATTGGATCAATGTTAGATTTTATGAATTTCCTAATTGCACTGCAGTTATATATAAGACAATATCCTTGTTCTTAGTAACTACATTCTGAAGTATCAATGGGTAAAGGGGCATAATACATGCAATCCAATTTTTCAAATGGCTCAGGAAAGATTACATATATTTTTATTTATGGGTATAACAATACAGCAAATGTGGCAAATGGAAAAAATTGGAGATTTGGGTAAAGGGTATTATGGAAGTTCTCTGTATTATTATTACAATCTTTCAGTAAGTTTGAAATTACCCCCCACGCACAATTTTTTTTAAAATCATATTAACCATGTACACAGTATGACATTCATCTCTCTTCTACGTGGACCTGTGAGTTGGCAGTTTGGCTTACACTCCACTTTCTCTTTGCCACTATGTTCTCTGCCTCCAGAGGACTAGTGACTAGTACTCTGAGGCAGGCACGTATTCAATGAGGCGTTAAAAAAAAATAGGAACACAAGCTCTGAACATCAGATGCTAAGATCTAAAAAGTCCACGCATGTTTGCAAAACTTCCAAGCCCTCCCCTGCTGACATTAGAAAGGCATTGCTGCATGTGTCTCATGTCCTGAGCTTCCCCCGGATAATCCCACATGACTTTCCCAACTCACGGATTTTCCATTTGGTCACCCACTCAACCTTCAGCACAGTCATATCTCTTGCAGAGCTAAAAATAGCCATTCTATCAAGTGGGAAGTTAAATAAAGTACTATTTACAGTGAAGAAGATAACTTCCCTAAGACTATTTTTTTAATGATGACAACGTATCAGCAAATCAAGGTTCTGGACAAAATAAAGGCACGAAAAGTGCTCTGTTGCATGAAGTTTATCACTAATTCTTAGCTCAGTGGATAGGAATGCCAGCTCTGGAGTCAGAGCTCTTGGATTCAAATCCTGAATTTGTCCAGATGCATAACTCTGGGCAAGCTCCTTAACTTTCCTGATCCTGTTTCCATGGCTTTCAAATAGAGGTTGATAATAGTGCCTACCCACGGACAGATCTCACAGCCATCATGTTGAACAGAGAAGCCAGAAAAAACAGAGTACGTAATATACCCCTCCACTTAGGTGAAGTGCAAGAACAAGCAAAACTATGGAACAGAGGTCAGAATAGTGGCCACCTTTGTGACGGAAGAGTACTGACTGGGAAGGGGCACAGGGGAGCCTTCCAGGAGGTGGAAACGTTTCCCTTGAGCTGGGGGGTGGTTACACAGGTATATGTAAACATCCATTAAGCTATACATTAAAAATTTGTTACATCTTGGGGCCTAGCCCTGTGGCCCAGTGGTTAAGTTTGCACGCTCCACTGCAGGCGGCCCAGTGTTTCGTCAGTTCGAGCCCTGGGCACGGACACGGCACTGCTCATCGAGACACGCTGAGGCGGCATCCCACATGCCACAACTAGAAGGACCCACAACTAAGAATATACAACTATGTACCGGGGGCCTTCGGGGAGAAAAAGGAAAAAAATAAAATCTTTAAAAAAAAAAAAATGTGTTACATCTCAACAAAAATGTAAAGAAAAAGAAAAAAACCACAGTAGCAACCACATAGAATTGTTGTGAGGATTAAATGAGAAAATGTACGCACAGTGCCCAGTACATGATAAGCATTCTATATAAAGTCAGCTGTTATTACACGTGCTTAATAATAGAATTATTATTTTTGAGATGAGTCTACTTTTCTTTTTACCACCCCTCTGTTCTTACAGTTTTTCATACCATTTCAAACTTCCTTCTCTTGCTTTTGCAGCTTTATATTGTTCTCCTTGTATTTAAATAAAGCAATTATATAGTTTAGAACATTTTGAAGAACATTTTTTTAAAAAGTAAATAAGGTAGCCAAAAATACAGGCACTTGGGGGCCGGCCCAGCAGCACAGTGGTTAAGTTCACACGTTCCACTTCCGCGGCCCAGGGTACGCCAGTTTGGTTCCTGGGTGCGGACCTACGCACTGCCTGTCAAGCCACGCTGTGGCAGGCATCCCACATATAAAGTAGCGGAAGATGGGCATGGATGTTAGCCCATGGCCAGTCTTCCTCAGCAAAAAGAAGAGGATTGGCAGCAGATGTTAGCTCATGGCCAGTCTTTCTCAGCAAAAAGAAGAGGATTGGCAGCAGATGCTAGCTCAGGGCTAAACTTCCTCAAAAAACAAACGAAAGGGGACGGCTCGGTGGCGCAGCAGTTAAGCGCACACGTTCCACTTCAGCGGCCGGGGGTTCACTGGTTTGGATCCCAGGTACGGACATGGCACCAGTTGGCATGCCATGCTGTGGTAAGCGTCCCACATATAAAGTGGAGGAGGATGGGCACAATGTTAGCTCAGGGCCAGTCTTCCTCAGCAAAAAGAAGAAGATTGACAGCAGTTAGCTCAGGGCTAGTCTTCCTCAAAAAAAAAAAAAAAGAAAAGAAAAATACAGGCACTTGGAAATAACACTACGTCAATGGAAATCAGCATGGAAGCCATCAGATGTTAATGGACTACAGATCCACAAGAGCTCATCTGGATAATGAGTAGACACCAGGGCCAGGCTTTCCTTTCCAGGAAGTTCTAAATTCCAGAGGAAGTTTAAACGGAAAGAAATTCAAGGAAAGGGTAAACAAAAAATGATGCCTTTGAAACTTTTTTAAAGGAAACATTACCAATCCATCCATCCCTGCTGAGCCAGCTCTCACTCTGAAGATCATTTTCAAGTTTCTTTGACCTGGTAAATTCTCTTAAATGTTACCTTCAGTTAGGTTGGTCACACAGTTATTTTTTCAGACTTACCTTTATAAAAGCATAGCCAACACCATTATCCGTAATGGTGAGACCAAGGGAATCCTCAGACTTATAGACATCCACTTCTTTTCTGATCCCTTTCACGTGGGCAAATATGAAATCTTCAAGACCCAGTTGTCCTCCTAAGAGTTTTTCCATGTCAACTTTAGGGGTGTTTAAAGTGCAATACAAGATCTGCAAGAAGAAAGAAATATGTTAGGTCAGTTTCCATCAGGATACCATTCTAGTCATTAGTTTAATAAATATTTGAGTGAAATAGTCCAGAATTTATGATGCAGAAGGTTACATCATTACTTTTAGGTCATACGTATTGAGTGTTTCCCATAGGGCAGGCTCTGTGCTAAGCAATTTACATCCATTATCTCATTTAATCCCCACAATCACTTTATAAATACATTACCATCTCCATATTACAGATGAGGAAATCGAGGCTGAGTGAGAGTAAGTAACTTGCCTAAGATCACAAACCCAGCACTTGCCAGAGCCAAGATTCAAGTTCAGGGCTTACCAACTTCCAAGTGGTTTAAACTCCTATGTTACCCGCCATATAGAATGCCGAAATCGAAGGCTGTGTTCCCAAAGGGAAGGTCGTGATCTGTATGCTACCATGAAAATACAGGCAAGACTACTTTCGAAAAGTGGCGAATTTTTTTTTTAAATAAGGCACACTTTATTTATCTTGCATTATAATGCTTGAGAAGAGTAATTTAATTAGTGAATGAGGTGCTAAAAATAAAAAGGTCTAAAACCTGGCTAAAATGGAACTTAAAGACTAATTAAGCCAATCCCTTAATTTTTTTTTTTGGAATTTTTAATTTTTTTAACTGCAGAAACATTGGTTTATAACATCATATAAATTTCAGGTGTATACCATTACATTTCAGTTTCTGTGTAGATTACATCAGGTTCACCACCCAAGACTAATTACAATCCATCACCATACACACATGTGCCTAATGACCCCTTGCCCTCCCCCACTTCCCCTTAGGTAACCACCAGTCTAATCTCTCTCTATGTGATTGTTTGTTGTTGTTTTTATCTTCTATTTATGAGTGAGATCATACAGTATTTGACTCTCCCTCTGACTTATTTCACTCAGCATAATACCCTCAAGGTCCACCCATGTTGTCACAAATGGCCGGATTTCATCATTTCTTATGGCTGAGTAGTATTCCATTGTGTATATATACCACATCTTCTTTATCCATTCATCCGTTGATGGGCACCTATGTTGCTTCCAAGTCTTGGCTATCGTGAATAATGCTGCAATGAACATAGGGGTGCATGTATCTTCACACATTTGTGTTTTCATGTTCTTTGGATAAATACCCAGCAGTGGAATAGCTGGATTGTATGGTAGTTCTATTCCTAATTTTTTGAGGAATCTCCGTACTATTTTCCATAGTGGCTGTGCCAGTTTGCATTCCCACCAGCAGCGTATGAGAGTTCCCTTCTCTCCACATCCTCTCCAACACTGTTGTTTCCTGTCTTGTTAATTACAGCCATTCTGATGGGAGTAAGGTGATATCTCATTGTACTTTTGATTTGGCTTTCCCTGATAGTTAATGATGTTGAACATCTTTTCCTTTGCCTGTTGGCCATCTGTAAATCTTCTTTGGAGAAATGTCTGTCTAGATCTTTTGCACAAATTTTTAATTGGGTTGTTAGTTTTCTGTTGTTGAGATGTATGAGTTCTTTATATATTTTGGATATTAACCCCTTATTTGATATGTGGTTTGCAAATATCTTCTCCCAATTGTTAGGTTGTCTTTTCGTTTTGTTGATGGTTCCTTTGCTGTGCAGAAGCTTTTTAGTTTGATGTAGTCCCATTGGTTTATTTTTTCTGTTGTTTCTCGCTGGGTCAGACATGGTACTTGAAAATATGCTAAGACTGATATTAAAGAGTGTACTGCCTATGTGTTCTTCTAGAATTTTAATGGTTCCAGGTCTTACATTCAAGTCTTTAATCCATTTTGAGTTAATTTTTGGGTATGGTGTAAGATAATGGTCTACTTTCATTCTTTTCCACGTGGCTGTCCAGTTTTCCCAACACCATTTATTGAAGAGACTTTCCCTTCTCCATTGTATGTTCTTGGCTCCCTTGTCGAAAATTAGCTGTCCACAAATGTGTGGGCTTATTTCTAGGCTCTCGATTCTGTTCCCTTGATCTGTGTGTCTCTTTTTGTGTCAGTACCCTGCTGTTTTGGTTACTATGGCTTTGTAGTACATTTTGAAACCAGGGAGTGTGATATCTCCAGCTTTGTTCTTTTTCCTCAGGGTTCCTTTGGTTATTCAGGGTCTTTTGTTGTTCCATATAACTTTTAGGATTCTTTGTTCTATTTCTGTGAAAACTGTTGTTGGAACTTTGATAGGCAATCCCCTAATTTTAAAAAAGAGGGAACTGAGGTCTGGAGAGGTTAATGCAACTTGGTCAAATTCACATCCTGGTAGAAACAGAACAAAAAACCGGAACTGTGGAAAGTCATGTGGAGATTTTAAAGGGACTTCTTATGTTTACCAAGTCTTTATTTGACCTCATCTTCCTTCAAAAATATGATTCATTTTGCTAAACTCTGCTGTGCTACTCTTAAGTTTGTGAACCATAATTTGGGTAATTTGTGGGGCCCAAATACAAAATTATGGAAGAGGAGAAGGAGGACTGAGAACATGTCATTGGTTTAAAAATTATGTTCAACAAACATTTATTGAGTATCTTCTGTGTATCAAACCAAAGAAGGATATTTTAACACAGCTGTTTTATAGCGAAACAGCTAAATGAAAAATTTTTTAATTTGATTATCAAGTAATGTTTGCCACAGATATTAACCCTTCCTCCATCCCTGAGCCTTGCTTCAGCCCCCATTTTCAGCCCTTTCCCTGTGTCCCCAAGTTTCACAGCATTCCGGATTCCCACTGGAACCTTGAGCCTTAACACATCCTTAAGTCTCACCTTCAGATGCGGTGCAATTACTACTTATTAAACGGCTTTTTAAGCCACATCAAAACACGAATTGGAAGAGCTCTCCCTGTTACACAGTTAAAGGTGCAGCAAACTCTGACCAATCCCAAAGGTGGAGGAAAGCAGCTAGTGACAAGGACAAGGGAGAGGCCACAGGATACAAAAGAATGAATGTCTCCAGGGAGAAACTACTGCCCCTGCCCTTCCTTCTTCCCATCCAGGTCTGTGGGGACCTGTGTTAACTGGTGGGCCTTTAATTTAACCCTCGTGTTCCCCGGGAGGACATCATATATTTGGCTTTGCAGTTAGTAAGTTTTTGCAAATATTCTCCAGGGTAAAAAATGTATTATTCACAGAGGGGGAAAAAAAACACATTTAAACCAAGAATGGCTCCTATTTCGTATTCTAATTGTGAGATCAATGGTACAATTAGTCCACTAACAAAAATCATGAATAAAGGTTAGAGGAGGGAAAGGAGTATGCGTAGACCCCTGACTCTCTGACTCCCTTCTCAAAATGATGGCAAGTGAGTAGAAGAAATAAACAGTTCAGGGGAAGGCCCAATGGCCAAGTGATTAAGTTCGCATGCTGTGCTTAAGGCGGACCAGGGTTGCACCGGTTCAAATCCTGGGCGTGGACATGGCACCACTCCTCAAGCCATGCTGAGGCGGCGTCCCACATGCCACAACCAGAAGGACCCACAACTAAAATATACAACTATGTACCAGGGGGCTTTGGGGAGAAAAAGGAAAAATAAAATCTTTAAAATAAATAAATAAATAAGCAGTTTTCTCCTTGTTCTTTTTTCAGTGAATCTGTTCATGGTATTCAGAGGGGATCCCAACCACCACTAATATAAAAGCAACTTACCAATTAGATAGGAAATAAAACATTGAAATATAACGGTGATATAACAAGGTAGGGAAAAAGCCCAGAAAAGGAAATCCCACACAAAGTGAACTTCTAGTCACTAAGCCACTTCCTTTCTTTCAATTTTTCACATGCTCGCTGCAGAGCAAATACGAGACTTCCTGTAAGTATAACCCCTTCCATTGTGCTCCCTCCCCTAGAGAATAACGTTCCAAGCCAGGCAGCCAAATGTTGGCAGGCAAGATACTGCACTTTTTTTTGTGGAGGTAGTGGAGCCAGCTATATCCTTCACGGATGGAGCTGCACAGGAAGTTGTGGCAAAAACCTTCAGGGATGTAATGGTCACTGGGAGGCGGAGGAAGAGCCCTCTGCAGCAGCAGGTCACTAAAGCTCCGCCACTTCAGGTCAGCTCTTCATGTGAGAATAAAAACCTAACACACAATCGCAATGCACAACTACCAGCAAATATATCCGTAAGTACACAATAAAGGGCTAGAAATGCAAACACATCCTCATAGATACTGTATTTCGAACTGAAAAACAAGAAAGCGATACACCACTTTCTTTTTTGTTTGTTTGTTTGGGTTTTTTTAAAGATTTTATTTTTGCTTTTTCTCCCCAAAGCTCCCCGGTACATAGTCATATATTTTTAGTTGTGGGTCCTTCTAGTTGTGGCATGTGGGATGCCTCCTTAGCATGGTTTGATGAGTGGTGCCATGTCCGTGCCCAGGATCCGAACCAGCGAAACCCTGGGCCACCGAAGCAGAGTGCACGAACTTAACCGCTCGGCCACAGGGCCGTCCCCATATACACCACTTTCTAAATGCTGCAGAGTTCGTGCTCATTCGCCCACTCATCAATTATCGACTGGACACCTGCTCTTTGCAGGTTCTGCGCTGCACGCTGGATGTACAGAGATAAATACGACAGTCCCCATACACAAGGAACTCCCGGCTGGTAGCCGCTCCGCTGAGGTACAGTGAGGCAGCACAGAACCAACTGTACTATACTAAAAATCATGAGTATTCAAACCAAAAGGAACCTCAAATGCATCACGAACTTTCCTACCTTCATTCATACATTTCCTTCAACTCAAAATCTGAAACGCCTGCCCAGCCACACCGCCCCTCTGTCCTTGTCTATTGAGACTCTGCTCAGATATGACCTCCCAGGTGGAATCAATCACTCTTTCTTTGCTCACATCATTAAATCTAATACCTCATTCGAGCATCTGAGTCACCCTGCCTGGAAGTCCAATTGGTTTAACATACATATTTGTCCCTCTCAGAGAGACGAGATCTTAGTCATCTTTCTCTCTGCTACAATGTCTAACACCGTGCCCTGC